ATTTTCCACTATCTGCACCATGTGGAAAATCAGGGCCACCATCCAACCCCAGTAAAGAATACATAGGGAATTTGTGATTGACTGCATTTTCTTTTCTTACACCTCTCAAAAATGGTATGAATGCTAACATTTGATAGTGTTTTACACCCACTTTGACCTGACTGCAAAGAGGTGTAACTGAATACACATGGTGTAACACAGTAAAGAATGAGGCCCAAGAAGCCCAAATGTCATCTTTTGCCAGCTGCTCATTGGTCAATGCAACAGAATGGCATAACCTGAAACCGCCCACCTGGAATAAATGGATTATTCAATTATAGGATGTCCTAGCCATAGAAAAGATGACAAACTCTAAGAATGACTCATAAATCAGTTCCTTTACCACTTGGCTACCATTCATGGAGTATGACGAAGATGATCCTGGCCTGAAGAAGCCAAAGAACTGGCTAGCTTTTCTTCTTATTTTTCAAATATCTTGATAAGCTCAAGACTTGATTGTACATCATTTATTGGAATATGTGGCCAGCATGCCTTTTATTATTAATGTCTGCACTTTTACTTTTTTCTCGTCACATCAGCATGTGTTTTTCACTGGTATGCACAGAGAGACACAAGAATATCCTGTTTTCTATTTAAGAATAAATCTCAAGGTAACGGTTATGTCAAATTTGGCCCAAATTCTAAATTTCATGACAATAAATGTTTACCAAATCTGATGCCAAATGACAATGTATTTGTGGAGGTTTTTAAAAAAGAAAATAAATACTTACCTACAGTATTTGCCATACAGTGTTTATGAGATTGTGCTGGTCCATGGAAACCTGATAGTAAAATGGACCAAAAATTAAAACCAAACAGAAGTTTTAAAAAGAAGTGAAATTGACTCGTCTCTTTATTGTCAAGACGGAGAGAGATACTAAAAGTAAACAGTTAAGCAAAAGTAGCAAAAAAATAAAATGGGAAGGTGTTTCAAATTCTTTGAATTTTAATGGTCAGACTGATATACCATAGATAACACATGAGAAAATAAATGTGGGTATATATTTTAAAAATATACGCCAAATCATCCTCTAGGAGGGTTATTCATCTAGATGTTATTCATCTAGGTTTTGACTCTCTGGCCATCCTTACACTCAGGAATTTTACAAAATAAATAAAAATGGAAGCACAAACAAAAGCCCTGGTGTAGACAAGATTCTGGTGACTTCCAGTGTGTTTACCACCATGTTAGTTACATTTACTGGAAAGCTGGTTTAGCTAACAATGCAGTAGAAATAGATGTGGTGGTGGGAGCCCTGTCTACACTAGGGCTCCCAATGAAACTGTCATTGGTGGGATTTTTTTTCTAATTCCCAATATGGACAAGGCTAATGAGCTTCCACCTAGTATTACCATCACAGTGGTGGTATTTGCCCCTCCAGAACTGAAAGGAGTTCAACTTCCAAACAGATAGATCTCCCAAGGTCTTGGCAGATCCACAAAGGCACTACGCCTTCATGCTGCTTTCTGACCTCCATGGCAGCACAGCCTCCTCAGGAGCCATTCTGCTAATGCCTTCTGGATGACCACTCCTTTTAGGGGTAGGGAATTTGCTGTGCAGAAAGAATTGTGTTAGTTAAAGATGACAGGGTCAGCATTTATTTAGTCCAAGGATCCACATGGAGTTAGGGATGGGGTGGCAATACATTGCCAAGGATAGTTGCTGAATGCAGACACTAACCCTCCCTCTACCAGCTCCCCTATTCCCCATCTGCAGTCCATAAGCACTGACTTCTCCTGTTTTCCATGGATACTTGACCCCGGCTCTGCCCCCGGCCCTGCCCCCACTCCACCCCTTCCATGAGGCCCCGCCTCTCTCCCGCCACCTCCACTGAGCACACAACATTCCCACTCCTCCCCTCTCCCCTGCCACTAGCGTGCAAACAGCTGTTTGGCGGTGGCTGGGCGGGAAATGCTGGGAGGTAGGTGGAGAAGCAGGGACGCGGCACGCTCGGGGGGGGGGAGAAGGAGGTGGGGCATTGGGGAGGGGAGCTTGGCTGCCGGAGAGTGCAGAGCACCGACTAATTTTTTCCTGTGGGTGCTCCAGCCCCGGAGGGCAGTCTATGCTGCAGTCTACTTCCTGCAATGTTTAGCCTCTCTGTGATCAGGAGGGAGAGAATCCTACAGAGCCGGCATTCCTCCTTTCTGTGCCCCCCACCAAACCGCAAATCCACTGCTGTTTGCACTCCTTCCCTTGCAAGAGTGGAGGGGAAAAACTGACCCTATATGATTTTAACCCTGACCGTTTAATTCCCCAGTCTTCACTTCCACCTGCTCTAGTCCTGAAGGGGACTTTTTTGAAATGTTACAAGCTCCTTTGATCCATCATTACCTTAAGATACTGTAAGAAGGACATTGGGGAACTAAAATATTAATGGATAGTGAGATCTTTCTTGAAATGGCCATATTATATAGATGTTGAAAATCAAATGGGTAATAAGTGAATACCTTCATGTCTAAGTTTGAAGAAATGCCAGTTAAATTGTAAGTGCTTGTCTTGCAGGATAAATTGTACATCTTTGTCAACATATGAGAATTTAGTAGTGCTGGCAAAAATCTATCATATAGACTGGAATTTTTAGTTTGGGATAGAAGTGAGCTGTAGCTCACGAAAGCTTATGCTCAAATAAATTTGTTAGTCTCTAAGGCACCACAAGTCCTCCTTTTCTTTTTGTGAATACAGACTAACACGGCTGCTACTCTGAAACCTGTACTTTTTTTAGTGGATTTAGGATAATAAAATGAGTCTGAAGTTCTTGATTTGTCCAAATTAGGGTTGGATTTATTTATTTTAACAGTTTTTGCTTGAGTAAAAACTACTTAGGAGTCACTTAACTTATGTTAACTTAACTCCTTCTACCTGTTTAGGAATCCAAATTCCGAAGTGTGTGCTTGCAACACACTCCTTAATACGTTATACAAGAGATAGTGCATGGCACATTTTGGTTCATTTACTGCTCTTCTCAAGCCCTGACTATGCAAAAACTCTGATTTTAGCCAACTCTTCAATTCAATATTTTCAAACTAGAACACTACAAACAAACAAACAAACAGAACTAATAGTTAATCTGGAAAGACATACTGTTTCTTCCCATACCTGATTGGGAATTCCATCACAGGATTAATGTTGTACATTGACAAAAAGCACACTGCTTTTTAAGTTTATTTCTGGTGCTGGCAAATGGAAATAAACATAGCACCTATGTATCCCGGTGATGTGTGTATTTCAGAGACAGGAACAAGCCAAGTACAGACTGCAGCCAGAATACATGCTGTACTCCATTTACAAAAAACAAACACTAGACAGAGGAATGATAATCCCTTCTTAGTGGAAAATCCAAATTTTCAAAATGAATCCCCAATCTAAAATGAATTACTGTAATAACTACAATCCTAGTATGGTCACTGATCAGAAAGGCACAACTGACAGCCTGCTGTGTGACATTTTTGGTAAAGCAGTTCCATATCCCCTAATTGCTGCTCTCTTCCTATAGGGATACGTGCCCCACTGAATCAGATAGCAGGATATTAAATGCATGAACAAGAGGGTAGCAGAAGGATTCTCCTTTAGTCTGAGTGATTGTTGTACAGCCTCTCTACGCACTTCAGCTGAGTGCAGCGTAAAAAGGTACTACTGCAGCTCTAAATTGAAGGATACAAAAAACTAGATCCAGGCCAAATTATTTTTCTGCAACTATTAAAAACAAATTACACAGGCTGTGGTGCAAATTGAAGTCAAATTAACTGTATGTGCACATGCTATGCTAAATGATAAAAGCAGTATCTGACCGTTTTACAAGCTATATTTTTATGACTATGCCAATTGATCTTAACATACTTAAAATAAGTGGTGACAATTCAACTGCCTATGACAAGTGATAAAAGACTTAAAATGTTATGATGTAATAACAAAAATAAACGTAGCAATTATACGATTATCTCAGAACAACATAGAGAAAAAAAGCAAACAGTTTATGTTTAAAAATGTGCTGCATTATCAAGGAGCCAGAAACTGAAGGGAGGGGAGCCCAGATAATAATAAACATCATCAAAAATCCAGTATGGGACTCTTTATTGTAACCTCTATGTTCACATTCTCAAAGTGAGGCCAACTACTGATGGCATGTAACTCACAATAATTCTACATTATTTGCTTGCTAGTGAAATTCAGATGACAATCGTTAAGCAAATAATCAAACACATCCTACATGCTGTCCTGAGAACAAGATCCACACCACCGTTTCCCGCTCCCCATCAACACAAGCATCCAACACACAGCATACATATGGCTTTCCATTTCCCTTCCCAGATCGGGCAACCCCAAACCAGCAGTGGGACTGAAAGATGCTCTGAAACAAATGACATGGCACACACGCGCACACACACACACACAACCCCTGCCACTGCATCTTGAGTTCTGTATCAAACGGGTGAGGCAAAGCTACACATTTGCCATCCTAACCCTTCAGCCAATCATCTCTACCTGTTTCAGTCCAACAAAACAAATTGCCTGGGGGAAGGAGGGCTTCTTTGTTGTATGACCTGCCAGCCCATGCACGCTAATATAGCCAGCAGCATGGACCATTTACCAGAAGGCCCACGTCTTAATAGACAACCGGGTCCCTTCCCTCATTGACAAGAGCCCACCCTTCCCCAAACCAAGCAAGCTATGAACGTTATTGCTGCCTTTTTACCAACACCCAGGCTGTGCATCTGACCCCCCACACCTCCCGGTTTGCAGAGACAACCTGTCATGGGGGGGGAGGGGCGGGCAACTACCTCTCCCCACCCACCCCCCCGCCTCCCCGACTTGTACCAGGAGTAAAATTAAGCCTCCCCAGGGGCGTCCAGGGCCTTTTCTTCCCCTAAGAGTCGAGGGAAGAAGAGCCCATCCCGCCGCGAGCGGCTGTGCCTGGGGTGGGGGCGGAGACGGGAGGGAGGGAGAGGCGGCAGCCCCCTACCTGGAGGATGCCGGCCCGGGCACAGATCATGCTCCCCCGCGCAGGAGCCAGGGCGGGTTTTAGATCCCACACGTGCGGCTCCTGGGCAGGCGCGCGGCAGCCCGGGGCCGCGGGAGAGCTCAGCGCCCGGCCCGCGCCGCGTCCCCTCAGCGCCGGCGGGGTGCGGGTGTCAGTCCCGGGCGGAGACGCCCCACAGTCCAGCAGCACCGGCAGCCGCACTGGTACGCCTGCAACGCTAATGCCGCTGCCGCTGCCTGCTCCCTCCTCCTCCTCCTCCTCCCCCCCAGCCCTACCTCCAGCCTCCCTCCCCTCTCCGGGTACCCGGCGGATGGAGCCAACCGCAAGCCGCGGCTCGCACTCCTCAGCGCCACCCGGCCCTTCCCCGGCTCCGGCTCCTCCTTCCCCGCCCGCGCACACCACCAGCCTGTGCTGAGTCTTCCCCCATCGCACGTATCGACTCCAGCACACTCACACGCCTGCATGGACGCGTGTCGTGGTCCAGCACGCTCCAGGAGTGACACCGCTTTGGAATACACCTCCCCACACAGAGATGTAACGCACACACACACACACATAGGACTTGGGACCCAAGACCCCCAGTCCAGGCTCCAACGCACACCTTTCGCCCTGAGCATGGTAGTTCACGGCCACCCCTTCCTCCTCGCAAATGGAATGGCACGCACGTGCACACCCGACACCTCTGCAGCCAGAAGGTCCAAGTCACACCTAATTCCCTCGCGGAATTCACCACTTCCCCGCCCCCCTCACGCATAGAATCCGGGACACGCTCATTTAATGCAGCACGCACAGGATTACACACAGAATCCAACAAACGCACACTCGGATTCCATCCATCTCACCCAGACACACACTGGCTCTGAGTCAGCTCTCTCGGCTACGCTGGCACAAATGGGCAGTAACTATTGCAATCAAAGCGGTTAGCCTGGTGTAAGTGAGAGCAGCACCAGGCCAAATGAGTCCAGCTTGCCTTCTTCTCCATTTCCTTATATTGTTTTCAGATCCCTCCCAATGGCTCTCCCCTAGCCCGTTATCCTCATGGGTGCTCATCATCAATTTCTTTCTCTCACACAAAAGAGACCTATCTGAAATGATAGCCCGGGAAGGCACGGTTCCTGCTTTAGCAGCTGTACCTCCCTCTCTTGGGGACCACGCACCATTCAATTTCCTTCCTATCTAATTGGGGATCTCTGCGCTCTCTCCTCCCCCACGCTCCCAGTACTGAGAGCATTTTACGAGTTGCACTTCTTGACAAAGAAAGGTGGAGATCTCCAGCTGTAACGGGCAGCGTACTGGTTGCAAACCACAGCTAATGAACTGTGAAAAGGTGGCACGCACTCATTACGCCCATGTAGGTTCCGCATTTGTGCTAGCATCGTACTCCTGCATCAATCAACTCACCAAAAATAGACAAGAAATGCTGCTGGGGGTTTCCAGTGAGCATCCACAGACAAGGTATTGTATATGCATCCATCTGGTGAAGGAAAAGAAGGAAGGCACTTCCGCAAAATATCTGCTTCGGGTTTCAGCTAGAATAGATGAAAGATAGATGGCTTTCTAAAATTCTGCTTCCCCACTCAACCCGAACAAGTATTTTTTTTAAATCAGCATGTAAAATATCATTAGTGTTTTCATTCATCCTGGTGAAGAGCAGCTGAGTATGTTTTTTGATTAAACTGGCAAATTTTCATGGCAATTTTGCCAGGCTCACATAGAACTTAATTTGTAACCTGACTCCATAGATTCTGAGGAAGTGACAAAAAAAATTGCACAGGTGTTCCCAGTAGTGTTTAATTCATGGTCAAGGTTGAGCAGTGGTTTCTATACCTAAGCCCCTATTTTTAATCATCTATCAATTCTTTCAGGACTGAAATTTACCCTGGTTGGTATCACCCCAAGGGTAGTTTTTCTTAGGAAAGGCTTGAAATCAATCGGCTTAGTTATTTTTTAGTTCAAGATTTTTCTAAAATATTCTTTTCCCATTGTGAAAAACGTTCTGGCATTTTATATCAACTAATTTATCTTAAAAAAGAAAATAAAACAGAAGAAAAAGTTGAAACTTGGCATGAGCATAGTCTTCACCAACGAAAGAAAGTCAAGCCAAGCTTGGGGGAAAATGGTTCAATATTTTAATCACCCTTAAATTATGGGATTACATAACCTGTGCAATAGGTCTATAAAATCATGAATGGGGTGGGGGGAAAGTATTATTTACCCTTTTCCACAATACAGAAACCAGAGGCCACGCAATGAAATGAATATGCAGCAGGTTTAATACAAAAAATAGGTAGCACTTTTTCCACACAATGCACAATTAATCTGTGGAACTCATTGCCAGTGGATAGTGTGAAGATCAAAAGTATAACTGGGTTTAAAAAAAAACCAAAAACACCTAGATAAATTCATGGAAGATAGGTTCATCAATCGCTATCAGCCATGATGTTCAGGGATATAACCCCACGCTCGGGGTGACGCTAAACCTCTAACTGCCAGAAGCTGAGAGAGCAAGACACGGGTGGATCTCTCCAAAATTTCCCTGTTCTGTATACTTCCCCTGAAGATCTGGTACTGGCCATTTTTGTAGACAGGATACTGGGTAAATGGACCACTGGTTTGACCAAGTATGTCAGTTCTTAGGTAATATACCCCAATTCAAAATAAACATAATGCACAAAAGTAACATATGTAACTGTGCTAGGTGCAGTACAAAAATAAAGTAAGAGACAGTCACTACCCCAGTGAGGTAAAATCTAAAGCCCTGACCCTACAAAAGACACATATACAGGAGGTGAAAACAGAGGCAGAGTTGAAATGACTTACCCAATGTCACGTAGCAGGCCACTGGAAGAGCTGAGAATAGAACCAAAATTTCTTGACTCCCAGTCCAATGTATTATCTATTAGACCACACTGACTGCCCAACAAATTGAACTTTTTTTTTTAAATCCTGGAATGTTCCTGATGTAACTCGATGTTGTGCGTTTTCTTCTAACAAATTTTCTTTCCAACTGCAGAAATGTATAGAAATGGAATACAACGTCTCCCAATATAAAAAGGCAGCAGATTTTTATTCTACAAGTTTCAGTGCACACAAATGTGATTTTACAGATTAACACAGCAGTGTGTGTGCATGTTGAGGGTGTTCCTGTGAATCAATATAATCTTAGGAGAGCATCGAAAAGCTGTCAAATTACTGAGGAGGTCATCACAGCCAACGAAGGTCCCAGAGACAAGTAATTTAGCAAGATTTTATTATCTGTGTTTAAAGAGCACAAAATTATTTTAGAAGCAGTAATAGCATTGCAACTATGGAAGCCAAAGCAATGATGCAAGGGCATCAGATGAATGTCTGAGGGCAGGGATATGGCTAGCAATTTGAAATATGTACACATATTCTGGCCACCCCAGCACCCTCCTCCAACACTAAACCAAACTGGCCATTACACACAGAATGATCCCTAACACAGTTGAGTGCAGTTAGTTACAGAGATCTAGCAATGAAATAATTAAACCTAATGATCTCCCAGAAAGTTGTGTGCTGTGCTATACTATACATGCCTGCCTACAGTACACCCATTCGACCAGTTGTAAACGGATTGCCTCAGGGTCAGGCAGGGATTCCTCATGTCACCATAACACATGGGACATGGGGAGAATCCTATTTTTCCACTTTCTCAATCATTCAATACAAGCAACCTTTAAAAGTTGGAAAGTGGACAAGAGAGACCTAAAATTTCATCCAGTTATACCAATTCCTGTGCTCACAACACCTGAAATGAGCACAAATTTCACAGCAGTAACTTTTCTATGTTTCTGAATTAGCTAAAATGGAGAAATCAATAGTGCAAGTGCTCTAAAATACACACTGCTAAATCCAGCAATCCTTACTCAGCACTCAATTCTGCCTTTGTAGAGGCAAGCCTAATGTCAGGGTCAGGGCTGAGCCACATCGCACCACAAAGCACAGTGCCTTCCCAAGTTCCTTGGAACACAAAAGAAATGTGCCTCTTAAGGGAACACACCATGCATTCTACTCCATGGCCAGCCAACTTCTTCTAGACCTGACTTGCCACACTTTGTGGTTGATAATGGCCCTAACCCCATACAAACCATTCAATGCTCTTCAATAGTGTGGAAAATGCACTTCTGACAATAAGGAGACAACATTGCAGAGAACAGGCAAAGACAAAAAAACCCTCAGAAAGTCTATAGACCAAAACAATATAAAGCGAAAATCAGTTCTTGGTTTCACCAGTGTAATTTCAATGAAGTCAGTGGGGTTGCACCAGTGTAACATAGCAATATTTTGCATATATGTGAGCGAGAGAAAGGATACATGCGTTCATATTGGCACAAAATACATACATTAGCAACATGTGGTAAATCGCATTTATCATGTATCTTTGACCCCCTCATCTGCACTCAGACCATAATCCATCCAGCTGGGTCCACTTCTAACATTTCAAATCACAAAGCCGCTTTGAACAACTGCCAATGTTTTATTTAAAAAAGTCAAAAAACAAAAACAACAAGAGCTGTCGATTAATCGCGGTTAACTCACATGATTAACTAAAAAGAATTGCAATTAAAAATTAATCATGATTAATCACAGTTTTAATCGCACTATTAAATAGAATACCAATTGAAATTTATTAAATATTTGGATGTTTTTCTACATTTTCATATATATTGTATTCTGTGTTGTAACTGAAAGTGTATATAATTTTTGATTACAAATATTTGCACTGTAAAAATGATAAACAAAAGAAACAGTATTTTTCAGTTCACCTCATACAAGTACTATAGTGCAATTTTTTGTCGTGAAAGTGCAACTTACAAATGTAGATTTGTTACATAACTGCACTCAAAAACAAACCAATGCAAATTTTTAGAGCCTACAAGTTCACTCTGTCCTACCTCTCATTTAGCCAATTGCTAAGACAAAAAAGTTTGTTTACATTTACTGGAGATAATGCTGCACACTTCTTATTTACAATGTCACCAGAAAGTGAGAACAAGTGTTTGCATCGGACTTTTGTAGCCGGCATTGCAAGGTATTTATGTGCCAGATATGCTAAACATTTGTATGCCCCCTTCGTGCTTTGGCCACCATTCCAGAGAACATGGTTCCATGCTGATGATGC